AAGATTGGCTGCAACATTACGAACGAGTTGCTCGCCATAACGCATGAACTCCGGAGCAGTGCCTTCAGAACGTCTACTTCGCTCTGGAAGGCACGGCACGCACCTGGTTCTAGAACCACGAAGCGTCAATTTCGTCGTGGCAAGACTTCCAGACGGAACTTCGACGCACGTTTGCCAGCCAGCAGCGACGTCAGCGGGCCGAGGAACTTCTTCAAGCAAGAAGCCAAGGGCCAAACGAGAGCGTCACAAGTTTCGTCGAGGACCTTCTCCGCCTCATGAACCGCGCCGACCCAAACGCTCCTGACGAGAAGAAGCTGCGGTTCCTGATGCGAGGGGTGAAAGAGACCATCTTCGGAGGCCTTGTCCGCAAACCCCCAGCCACCGTCGAAGATTTCTTCAAGGAAGCCACAAACATCGAACGGGCCCTTCAAGCACGGGCCTCCCATTACCAGCGACTTCCCGGCGTCGCTGCCTTCTCGACTTCCAGCTGCACCGGCCCGGACCTCCGCGACATCATCCGGGACGTCGTGCGGGAGGAAATCAGGAAGCTTCTTCCTACTGCCGCAAGCCCGGATTCGCCCTCAATCGCCGTGATTGTCCGGGAAGAAGTTCAGAAGGCGCTGCAGCCACAAGATCTTGTCAACGCCGCTCCCGAACAACCGACACTGAGCTACGCCGCAGCTACCCGACGACCACCGCCCCTGCTCACCCGTACACCGCGCCATTTCGACGTGAACCTCCAGCGCCGCAGTTTCCCCGACGCCAGGAAGATTGGGCGCACGCCCACCCAGAACAGGCAGCGCCACGAAAGACCGACGTGTGGAGGACAGCGGATCGACGACCCCTGTGCTATCACTGCGGTGAAGCCGGCCACATTTACCGTCGATGCCCCTACAGACAACTGGGGCTGCGCGGGTTCCACCCGAGCGACCCGCACCCAAGATACAACGAACGCCCTCGCGACATTGAGGAGTACCTCCGACGCTCGCCCTCCCCAGTGTCGTCTCTCCGCCGTGAAGCCCGCTCCCCATCGCCACGACGTTCAGCGTCCCCAGCGCAACGACCCCGCCGAGAGAGCCTATCTCCCCTGCGTCGCCGGGAAAACTAAGTGCGGCAACGCCTGGAGGTGACGTTGCCGAAAACGACGGAAGCAAACAGCCTCCAAGAACTCCGGAGCGCTCCCACTCTACCGACGTCCACCATTGTATACCGACGTCCCTGCAACGGTGTCCAACAGCCTAAACGTTGTTATTGACGGCCTCGACGCATCGGCACTCGTGGACACCGGAGCGGACTACTCAGTCTTGAGTGGGAGGCTCTCTCGCCGCCTGCGAAAAGTGACGACGCCGTGGGGTGGACCTCAAATACGAACCGCCGGAGGGCATCTCATCACACCAGTCGGAAGATGCACCGCTCGCGTCAAGATCCATGGCGAGACGTGCCCTGTGAAATTTGCCATTCTAAAAGACTGTGCCAGGGACGTCATTCTCGGCATGGACTTTCTGTCTGAATACGGCGCCGTCATCGACCTTCGTGAAAACAGATTGACGCTGCGAACCCCTGTGCCACCTTCAGAGAAACCCCAAACAGCGTCAGCCGCCATCCGAGTCGCTGCCGACCACGTGAACCTGCCACCGCGATCAAGTGTTGTCGTACCCGTCGTGGCCGATACAGCTACCTGCGGCGAAGTTGTCCTGGAAGGCAACCTTCAATTGCTCCTGGGAAGAGGAATAGGCGTCGCAAGAGGAGTAGCTGAACTTCAGGATGGGCGGACTGTGGTCCTCGTGACGAACTTCCGAAATGAAACGCAACACCTCACAAAAGGTGCCGCTGTGGGCCACGCCGAGAAACTTCGGAACTCCGCCGAAATCGCCGCGATTGCTGAAGAATCATCAGCACCTCAGCAAGGCAGTAAGTCGCCAGCGCAGCTTGACATCCCTGCTGGAAATGGGCGATGTGAAATGAGGCCAAAATTCACATTGAACCAATGTGCAACTGTAGGTCCAGACACATTGAGCAATATGCATTTATGAAACAAAAACCTATGTGCACCAATTGGTAATCCTTTAGGGAATTCACATTGGGCTGAATTGGTAATCCTTTAGGGAATTCACATTGGGCTGATTGCATTTATGAAACAAAAACCAATGAGCAGCAATTGGCAACAGGTGCTCCTGTGCACATTGGGTTGATGGTATTCATGGGGCAAAAACTAATGAGTGGCTATTGGCAACAGGCCCCCCTGTGCACACTGGATTGATGGTATTTATGGGGCGAAAACCAATAAGCGGCAATTGACGACAGGCACCCCTGTGCACATTGGGTTGATGGCGTTTAGGGGGCGAAAACCAATGAGCGGTAATTGACAACAGGTGCCCCGGTGCACATTGGTTTGATGGTACCCAGTCAACCAGCAACCGTCTATTAAACATCAGAGAGATGTGTTGTTCGGACATTTAACATATCCAGTGGATATCTGCTACGATTCATCCAACATTGAAAGTATCTACTGTGCAGTGCAAAATGGTTCCCCAGAAAACGTACCACTAACGCAATCTGGTTGATGCAGCAGGACATTCAGGACCATTGTAGGATGTTCAGCCTGATCCTGTGGATGTACCATCTACATACCTCAGAAATATTACCTTTCCTGGTATTCGCGACTCCAGCGACCTATAGGGGGCGCCACCACCAAACAAACATGGCGGCTGAGTCCAGGTCGCGTCGGCTCAGCCGGGCCGCCTGAATGGGTGGCGCATTCAATTTAACAATTATTCTTTTGTTGAATGCCCAATTTTATGGGTATTCGAACTGAGACAGTTAAGTTTAGCTGGAGCGCATAAACTTGCCGAGCATAGTTTTGTTTTGCCGGTGTTTTTTGTTCTTTTCATGTCAAACTTTCGCTTCGGAGACTTCGATCAAAACCAAAACTATGGGCTCCGGAGAAACGGTAATAGACTGTAATTAGTTTTGGTCATCTAAGGAAAGCGGCGAGGGCTACAAAATTGTTCCACCGAGAGTAATTTTCAGCTAACTCGCATGCCTCGATCATGCGACTTACCTGTCCGCGAAATTGAGCTGTTGTGCCTGTCCGCGTTTCAAGAAACAGCTGCAGTCGTGTGCTCGGTCAAGAACACAGGCTGCAGGAAAATTACGAACGTTAAGCAAGCGCTTCTTGAGCCAAGGAGCATGTCAACTCGCTGGCACTTCACTAAGCAGCTGATACTCGTATTTCAATTGAGGTTTTAATAGCAATCGAGAAGTCATTTTGATGAATATGCGGTTATGTATAATATTACGTACTATGGTCCCACTAAAGCGATATTAGTATGTTCTTCGGGTTGAAATATGAACTTAGTTGACTAACTATTAGGGTGAACTGCTGAATAAAAGTATCTTTGACAGACAGAGAGATACTGCTTAAACTTAGCCAATTGGTTCTAGCCGGTAGAACGGAGACGAATGCGGACAAGCTGAGGAGAGTCTTCATCGGAGATTCACTCAGACCTCTCTGAATTGAACTTGACTTCGAATCCTGAACGGATAAAATTAGTATTTTTTGTGGCCGGTCAACCTGAGCAATGTAGACGTATATTGCTGCTGGATTCGACGGGGGTTATAATATAAGTATTGGGGGCGCGATAGATCCTAATGACGTGACAGCTTCAATCTTTGCGAGACGCGTCCCCCACCTTTTAAAAGCAGATAATTTCCCTCATTAATCATATGGAGCGAGCAGGTTTTCTGAATCAAGCAATTGCGAAATTAGCCCAACTCCTTCAATGTGCTCTTTTTCGGCGAGAAGCCGCCAAGATGAATAGCCAACGCACCGGCCGGCGTTAGTGGCTCAAATTAACTTGAAGCTAATCGAGCACAACCAAACTCAAGGAAAGCAGCTATCGAACCTTCCCTTTCACTTGACTGCAACATTGGTGTCCCCTCCAGTGAAGCACTTCGTCTGTCGACCTCAGTCTACTGTTCTACATCCTTATAAAAAAACCGCTTATCAGTTACCAAGCAGTCGTCACTTTGATTGTGATTAGAGACAGACGAGAAATCAAAACGTTTTTCCATGATTCCTCCCCATCCAAAAAATTGAAAGCACGCGATCGTGTGTTGTGAAATAAACGGGCTTTCAAACACGTGATGGAAAGAAACAATCTACTGAGGCTTCACCACACTAATGAACACTCAGGCAAACTTAAGAAATTTTCGGACCTTCGTCAAATTACATTGCTCGCCGCCGCGCCGACAGCACGCGTCCGCGAAAGCCATCAGAGACCCGGCGGGGCGCGGAGCGACCTGGACCGGCTGGTTCCCGGTTTTCCCGCTTGGCGGCGTCCGTTTTGCTGGAGTCGCGAATAGGGACCAGCCCTATGCCAGGAGGGCAAGGAAGTACCTAAGCAGCCTTCATTTTATGCTAGCATATAGCGTGTAAACTGTCCTACAAAAAAATTTAAACGGATAAGAGTCCAATTCTTTACAAAACAAGAGCTCAGAGGGCAGATTTGCTGTATGGCCCGTGCATGCTCTCAATGTATACCCAAATGGCGCATTACAGATGTATAATGTAGCAATCAGGCCCGCAGCAGACATTCTTTATATTGAAGTTTTTTTTTCACCATCAAGCTCAGAAGCTTTACCACAGGATCAATGCAGACGACACTGACAAGGAAGGCGACACTACTGATGCTGACTCGTTTTAGTGAGGTGGACCTCGCCACATGCGAGAGAACTGAAATACTGGACACAAACATTGTCATAAGCTATGACGAACGGCCCTGAGGAATTGACTACTGAAGTCTAAGGCTTCAGTAGTCATATGCTCTAGTGACGATTACACCAGAATTCCATGAGAGCTGTAGCACCGACTGCATGGCAAAAGATGCCGCTGCAGTCTTGCAGCGTAACTTTGAACGTGAGTAGCGCACTAAATTCCTGCCCAGCCTGTCAGGCATGCACATCCGTTCTGTAGAAAAAGTTGCAGTGCCAAACAAATCGCCATTAACTCTTTATTGTTACTGTTAGACAGACGAGCAGTGCTTGATGCTTTTAAAATAAAGTATAATTTTTGAACAATGCTGCATAGACAGCATGAGGTTTTCAAAATAAAGTATACTTACTGAACAATGCAGGATACTTTGCTTAAAAAAAATGTCTGATAAACATAATAAAAAGCTCAGCGCATTCAAGGCCCACTTAAGGCAGTTCACATCTCTCTCTCCTATGGTGCAGAATGTTCCTGAAAAGCAACGAAAAAATGTTACGTTAAAGATATGTGAGCAGTGGTTTACCATTCTTTGAAACAAAACTAATAAAACAGTGAAGTTCAAAGTGAAGTGACTCAAATATGCAAGAATTGGAACTGATGTAAATAAATCACAAGTATTTTATGCCTTGTTTTTAAAGCACATTCATGCTGGATGTGTGTACTGTATTGCCAACTTTTGTTTGTTAGATTTACATCAAATATCAGTGTTCTTAAAATTCGTTGTCTATGCATTCTTTTTAATCCATAATAAGGTACTATTACATATTGAAATTTTTCCTCTTAGAGAAACACTCCAAACAAAATTTTTTTTATTTAAAATTATTCAATACTGTTCACACCTGTAGTATTTGCTCTCAAATTAAACCAAAAAAGGTGTCACTGGCTTTAATAATTAAAGCATTCAAATACTCTTATATAGAAATTATGCTTTGAAGAAATTGCACACCATACTTACTGTTCTAGAAAAGTTTGATTTTTGTGCTAACATCAGCTTAATAAGACCAGCTTACCATTTGAGATGACTGATGTCAGGCAGGTGCGTGGCAAAGGTAATCCGTGACCATGGTTTCTACCTTGAAGTCTTCACATTTATGGCAGCTCTGCACTGCATCTGATAAAAGAAAGCAACAGAAGTATGACACCAACAATTCCATAAATCTGGTTCCATGTGAAGCGATCTGCAGTACTGTTCCAGAGATTACTTACTTATGATGCACTCAGCAAGGTGAAGGTTCCTGAATGTCAACTTTCTCTTACGTCCTTCTTACAAAAATTTTCGCCCCAACTGGTCAGTCAGCAACCGCTTCGTGATCTGTCTCGTACAGGAAGCATAACCAGATCCCCAGACTTTGATGAGCTGTCGAACATAAAAAAACATCCACATAGCAACCGCTTAGTGCAATCATAACTATTGATTGGATGTTTGTTTATTTTTAGTCAACCTTGGCAGGTGTTTATCGGCATCCATTTCTTCAGTAAATGTGCTGCAAAAATATTCCAAAAGCCGGGAATCATAATGATAAAAAAACTGCACCGACTTTACTCAACAAGATTAACAATTTAATCAAACGTTTCGTCTCCCATGTGGGAAACATCGTCGGTGAAACCTTGAAGCAGGAATGAGCGAAAGAAACTTCAACAGTCCTATTTAAGCAAGTCCGCATACACATTGAGGAGGGGGCCGCAGCGGGAGTTACAAGCTGATGAGTCATTTCGGATGAACCATGATTCTACGAACCTGCTTGGACCCCACATTTGTTCACGCGCCAGAGTGGACGCATTCTCAAAGTCGAAACTGTGTCCCGTATTCCAACAATGGTCTACGAGTTCCGTCTTCGCTCTTGTCGCATGCGTGGCCTTTGCCATGTCCCTTTTGTGACTTTCATTTAGCTTTAAACAGCATTGAATCATCAATCCAATTCACATATGAAGTTGAACAGAACGGTGCAAAGCCTTTTCTGTATGTTAATGTGTTCCGAAATAGTACCGGTCGCTTATATACAACAGTGTACCGCAAAGCTGTGATACAGGCAACCTCTTAAGCTTTAACTCGCATCATTCTGTCGAACATAAAAGGGCTGTCGTAAAAAACCTACTACACCGGTCCGAACGCATTTCTTTTAATCCTCAATTGCGCGCTTCTGAGAAAAAAGTCAAATTTGGGGGATTTACGTGCTAAACCAACGACGGGCATCTGGCACGCCCCAGCGGAGGACTGAGGATTAATTTAGACTACCTGGGGATCTTTTGACGTGCAACCGAAAGCTCGGTTACACGGCGCCTGCTCCGCAATAAGCCTCCGCCACATGGGGATCCGTAGGCCAGCGCTCTCGCCTCGGAGCCACCGAGGCGGCTTGCGCGCTTCTGAGGATGCTGTTATTGTTGACCTGCTGATGAAGCGGAATTATCCGAAACGTTTTATTGATAACACGCACAAACAGATGGGACAAAGAAGTCAGGATAATGGACAACTTAGGACAGGGCAAGCAACAATACCCTATTTGAGAGGTGCTTTTGAGTCCATTCGCAGGGCCCTCGCCCCTTTGAATATCCGCACAGCTTTCAAACCCCACCATAAACTATGTGATTTCATTTCTAAACCTAAAAATTACACCCCCCCAGAGTCCCAGTGCGGTGTTGTGTATAAAGTGAACTGTCTAGACTGTGACACATCCTACATTGGGGAGACAGGCTGGAAGCGCTGCACTCGCCTAAACAAACACAGCGAAGACGGAACTCGTAGACCATTGTTGGAAAACGGGTCACAGTTTCGACTTTGAGAATGCGTCCACACTGGCGTGTGAACAAAGGTGGGGTCCATGAAGGTTGGTGGAATCATGGTTCATCTGAAGTGACTCATCAGCTTGCAACTCCAACCGCGGCCCCCTCCCCCGATGTTTATGCGGACTTGCTTAAATAAGATTGTTAAAGTTTTTTCGCTCAATCCTGCTTGAAGGTTTCACTTATGATGTTCCCCGCATGGGAGACGAAACGCTTGATTAAATTGTTAATCTTGTTGAGTAAAGTCGGCGCAGTTTTTTTATCATTAAATTTGCTACTTATATTTATACCTGCTCTTATTGAGGCACTTCCGACATTTAAACTGAGGAATTTTGACGTCTTTATCTCAATATGGCGATTGGATTAAAGATTATACCACTGGGCACGGGCTTGGGCTTACCCGAAAGCCCAGGCCTGGGATGGGCTCGGACTTTTGACTGTGGGCCCGGGCCGGGCTCGGGCCAGCACGTTGATTGGCCTGGTTCAGGCCAGCACGTTGATTGGCCTGGTTCGGGCTCGGGCCAGCTGTAATTGACCATGATGCTGACAGAGGCCATCGTAGAAATCGGCGTCTCAGTTATCTCAGCAACATCAACTCCAGAACCACTAGACAAGTACCCATGAACGTAGGCCCACCTTAAGACAGTGGACGGCAGCGTCGTTAATCATGAGGTGAGCTTCAGGTTAATCCCAGTGGCGTGATGTTTTTGCTTGTGGTGATAAATAGCGGCAAACCAAAAATAAACGGACATTGAAGCGCTCTGTCAGGAATTAAAAATGGGGGACTCAAAAACATTAACGCTAAACAATCTCAACCTAATTGATCATGAGAAACACTTATCTCTCTCGAATAATAGCTGGGAAGCGCTAACATAGCGGCAATGATGTAGTGGGGAAGCTTACAGGCCTAGTAAACAATTATACACATACTGGGGAATGCCTGGCACATATTCAGGTATGAATACATGCTCAGATCTACAAAATATTTTAGGAGAAGATACAAACTGCAAATTAGTAGTCTTTCTTAGAAAACACATTGACGTATCTTAATCACAGTGCTAAAACCCATAAAAACACTTGATTACAATTATTTTAATAAAAAAAAGTTCTGAATATGTACATGACACCAGCAGTCATAACTTTGATTTAGTTCATCGCAAGCTATATTTCTCTGGCAGCAAACGAAGACAAACCTTTTAACTGTGCAGTGAATCAGAATTAATACAATACGACGAAGTTTCCGTATACCACTTTAAAATAACCACAAACAACGCTTTTCAGATCAGTATGTTTTGCTATAAAAGGCTTATTATAAAGCCATAGTCCTTACAGTATATTATAAAGCTTTTAGTCTTGCTGCATCCAGTTGTTGCTTTGCTTAGCCTTTGTGCGGTTTGAAGGTCTGCCGGTTACAATTCGCCAAGGGGGCCATCTGTGGCGGAGATAATTACCAAACCTTACCGGATGAACATTGATTCCCTCTTCTATTTGAGAACTTTCGTGTGTGAAGTCTTGTTGAGCCACATGCCATTGCCAATGCACACATAGAAGACATAAACTTCAGTTCATCTTTGAAGCAGCACTATGTACAGGAAATTTACCAGCGCAATATTCGTGACTCCAGCGAAATCGACGCCGCGTAGCGGCAGCGCCGAGAAGCTCAGGAGAGGAGGTTGTCCCGACTCTGTCGTCTGCTATCGCTGCTTGGTTCTCGTAGGCAGCATAGAAACAAACATTGTTTCCAGTAATCATTTTAATGATTCCACCGGGTCCTTCCTACGCACTGAGTAGACGAACGTTTCTAGGGTCGAAAAATCGCTTTGCATTCAAATGTAACACCGATTTTACGCTGCAGTGCAGGAATTTGTGATGGTCCGCATGCTGAACAACGAAAACGACCTTCTTTCGTCCGAATTTTGCCTGAGCAGCGCGCCATCTATAGTTCGCTGGAGTCGCAAATAACCTGGACTGGGATTGAAAACAGGGGTCCTATTTGTCAACGGCATGCCTCAAAATTAATTTTGTTGATGAAAAAAAAAATTGTAGCAATATTTACGCGGCAAAACGCAATTTGAGTTTGGCACAAAACCCAACCGGTGTAACTAGCAGGTATCCTTCTTACCTCATTACTGTCAGAGTTAACGATTTGAATGATTCGACCTGATCCCTCACCCTCCTCCTCTTCTTCATCTCCTCTCTCTCCCCCAACGAACAAACAAACAAACGAACACGCACGCACGCACGCACGCACGCACACACACACACACACACACATACCTCTTCTCCAAATAGACACAGACTGCGCCACGCCTTGACAGATATAATTCATTTAAACCTTAAGCCTATCAGCACAGAAAAAATGTTAAAACACATAACCTTTACCTAGTTTCTGGCCATATGAAAACAAACACATGGCACCCCTATCAATGAAATTCCTTGTACTTGTGGCGGCATAACTAAAGAAAATCTCAAATTTAAAATACGTCTTATGAATTGCTTCGCAAGCGCGAAAATGAAATTATAATTACCTGTCTCATACAAGCTTCCTCCAACCCCCCCGGGCAGTCACTCATCTCGTCGGAGGTACTAGCACCCGCCTACTGTCACTGGGTCTCCGCGTCACTCTGCGATCCTGAAACAACCGGCGCCGAGAGTTACTCCCACATATTGTGCTTAAAGCTGCAATTTTTAACTTAAAGGAGATGGTCACTAGACTGGGCACAACGCGTGTGGAGACTAGAACTTACCAAACAACTTTAGGATCCGCGCCTTGAAGAAGTCCGATTCCGTTTCGTCACAAGGCTTGACGGGCAGATATTTGAGATGACATGTGCAGTGATGTGATTGGCCTAAGCCATTTTGGAGCACCTTTTGGAGCAGCCAGAACAGTGTTTTGGAGCAGCAAATGTGGACTTTGGAGCAGCCAAGACAGTGTTTTGGAGCAGCAAAAGTGGCTTTCGGAGCAGCCAAAACAGTGTTTCAGAGCAGAAAAAGTGACTTCTGGAGCATATAATCTTAGAAAAATAAATATTTGTTTTAAGTGCTGGACAAACGAAGGACACTTTTTGTGGTGTGTTGTGATGTGACGTGTTGGGGCGGAACTCGCTGCTTGTGTTTGTGATGCTGAGACATCCCACAAGTATAGGAGGTATTCACTGGACGCCATATTTGTGGGTGCTGTTTAGAGCGCATGCTCAGAACGAGCTCACATTTATAGCCTGCTAAGACCGGCAACCTTGATGGTGCTAAATGCACGCTCCAAAAGGACCGCGGAAGCTCGCCGTCAGCACGCGCTCAGCAGCAGCGCACACGGATATGGCCGCAAGTGAATACAAAGCTGTAAGCATTGCCGAAAAAAAAAAAAAAAACACTTGCTATCGTTTTACTGGTTCCCGACGTGGCAGATTTTCATAAAAAGTAAGCAAACCTAAAACAATGAATCGCAAGCGTCCCGGCTCGTGCCTCTCGTGCAATCATGTTCACATGCACGTGAGGGCAACTTCGGCAGGCTTGCAGTTACACGTGATTCGCCGCGCGAGCGGAGACAACGGTTGTTCGACCGAAACCGAAACCATGCCACTCCGCGCATCGCCAACTGGTTCCCAAAATAGTATGCAAAATGTAACTGTCCAGCATACGACAATAAAAAGTCCAGCGGCGCGTGCTTTGCAGGCCGGCAGGCGAGGTACAGGCTAAACACACAGGAAAAAAGAACCTGAGAGTATCGATGCAAGACATTACCAATCAAGGTCAAAAAGTTCTTGGAGCGCTTTGTGCAACGACTAAACTCGAGACAAACAAGCACGCTGTGCGGGTTCAGCATGCAGACATTGCCTTCGTTGCTTTAGCTCGCTTCTCGTCATCAACTTTCTTTCGCGGGAGATTTTTCACGTACCGGGGTCCCTCTCGAAAGAAAGCCCACCGAGAGAAACCTAGGTAATCAAAACTTCGCCAAACATTAATCGAGTTAAAGAGGAATTTTTATAGCAGCGTATGATTTAAACAAGAGCAGGAATGTCGATGCGTTTCATTTTAGAAAGCGCCATATCTGCAGCGACGTGGGGACGGCAACACACGACGTCGCGCGACCACGGCGACTGTGGTCGCGCGAGCGCTTCAGCTCACAAAGTAACTCTCGCCCCGAAAAACGTGGTTTTGTTTCACAGCATGACGGCATGGCTAGAACACGGCACACTAACGTCGGAGCGTCCGCACACGCCCACGTCTATCGCTAAAAAAAAGTAAAAAAAAGAAAGAAAAAGGCGCGAGACAAGATTGCCGAGACAACGAGAGCGCGAAACGCAAGACGACGCGGGAAAAATCATGCAAGACCGAATAGACCAGGGGTGGCCAGGCCAACCAGGCCTAAGAGCCGCAAACGAAACCACGAAACTTTTAAGAGCCACGGGGGGGGGGGGGGGGGGGGGGGGGGGCAAGTTTAAATTATGTTCAGAGTCTGACTGTACGTAGGAGTGCACAAGGCTGTACGACAGTACGTATGGAGGTACAAGGCTGCCAAACCCCGAGTCGCACTTCATTCTGCCTGAAATCCCTTCTTTTTTTCCTGGGGAAATGCGGGAAGGGGGGGGGGGTCCCCTCACGAGGGATCCGCGAGCCGCACTTGGACCAGCAAAGAGCCGCATGCGGCTCGCGAGCCGCGGTTTGGCCACCCCTGGAATAGACGATTGATTCAGGGTACTTCGTGTCGGGCGGCGTCTATTGCCACCTAGCTCATACATGCTCAATTACGGTTCTTAGTTTCGTTTTCGAAAGGCGACCAAAAATGCTCCTTTGGCGCAGGCTTGGCGCAGATTAGCCATATTCCGGTGAAATGTAGCAGGATGTAGCAGGGTTAGCCCCTTGGCGCAGTTTGGCGCAATTGGCGCAGCAATCACATCACTGCATGTGGCTCATGGTCGTCCTCAAGACGTACGCTTGCATAATCGTTCGTAAAATTCCGGCCGCTCAACTGGTCTCGACTCTGCAACGTGCTTCAAGCGGTTAGACTTCCCGCGAACGTTGCTTCGGCAGCTTCGGTTCTTCTTCCACGCTTCCTTGTCCTCCGACCGGACCGTTCGGTTTATCACGTCGGACCACTTCCTGACGCAGGGGATGTATCACGTGACTATAATAATTCGTATTTTAACTCTTGTTTTTGTTTGCTGAAGTAAACGAATACTTAAAAAATTTACTTATTGACCTTAATTTAGCAAAAAATTTGCATAAATTGCACTTTGAAAACTTATTTTGGTTTTATATGTCATGCGGGCTATGTGCATGCGGGTGACCCCACTGTTCACTCTATTGACTCTAGCTCACTCTATATTGTCACGTGGTGTAACCCGCAAGCCCGCAAGTGTGACTGATGCACTTAAGAAAATAATAAACGTTTCTAAAAATTATGGTATTACTTAATTGTCAAATGTAAATACTGAATATATATTAAACTTATAACGGAGTAATTTTTATTTGTCATTTTAATTAGAAAATTTCATTTGCTGCGAGACGACGTCGGTGCGAATTTTAAAATTTGGATTTGAGACACGTAGGGTGTCGCGCTGTGCGACCATGAACCCAAACAAAAAATTATACTTGGAGCCACTAAGTATACCCAGCTTGCCAAGGACAACAGTTCTGAGACGAAGTTGTGTCCTGAAAAATGCTGCAACAGGCCAGGGACCAGAACCGACGTCGCCGACAGCAGTTTCTGTAAGCTCGGTAGTCTCGGAACACGGTGAGACAAAAACTCCCCGTGAACTGAGTAGTACCAATGAAACCAGAAGCGGTCACAGTACTGGGCCAGTTAGTGAAGACACAAGTGATAAAATTGTGGAAGTGACGGGAGATTTGAAGACCAATTTTCTGTCCAAGTTTCCGAAAAGGCCACTGCCAAAGACGAATGTAACGAGTCTGACGTACCCTGTTTCGGCTGGCCTTCATTTTAATTGGACGCAAAATGAAGGGCTTTTGAATCTCGAAAACTTCATTGCTGGAGTGTACACTCTTCCCGGCATCAAGGAAAACTACAACATTGGGAAGCCAGAAGCCAAACTAAAGGCCCAAACTGCCAACAAGCGCGTAAAATGCCTTTCAAAAAGGAACTTCCTTGCTCAACTACAAAGTGGAAAGCGCTGCCTGACACTTACTGTGCGTGAAACAAGGTGCAATCATAATTTCGGGAAGGTCATCCTTATTTCGTGTGTGTGTGTGTGCGCGCATTTTATGTGCTTTTTTTTAATGACTTCTGTGGTGTTAATAATTATTGGATGTTATTCGGCACTACCGGCTTTTCTTTTCTGTTAATAAAAAACATGCCCACGATAGAATGTGCTCGTGATCTGCCGCCCCAGAACGAGCGCGTAGCCTCTGCTAGGGCTCAACCAGGATACGTTCACATGGCAAAATGGAAGCCTGAAGTATCGCATTTTTTCGCCAACTCCGCCAAAGTTTTAAAGTCCCTACGTCGGAAGTCGGAGAGCTTTGGACCAATCGTGAAAGATGATAATAGGATTTTTGAGTCAGTGTTATTCTGTTTTTGACCCGGTTTTACCCTGATTTGCTCGGTTCCGGAGCGAAATTTATACAAAAACGAGAACGTTCCACTCCGAAACCAGGAAGAACTGAATAAAACGGAGCAAAGTCTAATGTGAATACATAATCCAGTTGGTGCAATCGTTTACGCTATTACTGTTACCGAAACATCCAGGAAAACAAAAGGACAGAATACACCGCTAAAACTGCCGAGTTCCGATGATACCTGAATTTCGTGGCTTGCCTATATATAATTATTCATGAATCGTGTGCATACTATGTGCACACACAATGTTCCCGTTCCCCATAGTCTTTTCTTTATGTTTTACTGGCAGCCGCATGTTTTATAATACGAAGGAGGACAGTACGTAATCAGGAAATTCTAAAACACGTGACAAAAAAGAGTTCATATTCACTTTATTAACTGAATGTTTTATTTAATTAGTGTCTACATGGCCCAACCCAAGTTATATAGCTAAAAAAAAAATTTTATTTGACAGAGAGGAACCCAGCGGGCACGCACGTATCTGCACGGGGGAGGGGGGGGGGGAACCATGGGACCCCCCCCCCTCCTCCCAAACCTTTCATTTGGTGGGGCCTCCTTTCCCCCCTCCCCCTCATACAGTATTTTGTAATGGGCGAATCAAAATCCTGGCTGCGTGCCTGCCATCGGGTATATTTGCGGCAAAAATTATTTTCCTGTGCTCAAAACAAAACTTTAGTATATAACAACCCTAATTTCTCCACTAAGCATACTGTTTAACCTGATAGATGCCCACTTAATAGATTTTATGTTCTGTATTCCCAGTCGACCATTAAAAGTTCTCGATCCGAAATGCATTCCATTTCACCAATGAAGCTTTCAGTTTAACCAGTACAACTTGTTATTGATCCTATTGAAGGACCATTAGGCACTTGTATTCCGGACCAGAAAACATTCGTGTTGTTCCCATAGGAGTTTCTACTTGTCCCATAGAAGTTCCTGCTTGTCCCACAGAAGTTCCTAATGGTACAAGAGAAGTCTGTATTGGTACGATATAACTTGTTATCGGCCCAGTAGAAATGCCCATCGGTACGATGAAATCCTATTGATCGCATAAAAATCTCTATCGGTCCCATAGAAAATTTTTGCAAGGGTGTGCTAATTTGGCGATTGAGCATTGTCACTGCCATACTGCACCGAGTTCACTTCTCTGCAGTGCATGGCTCTTTGCTATCTCCCGTACAATGGCTCTGCCACATAGCGCCACTGGCTGCAATGAGCGGTAATGAGCAAAC